GAGAGAGAGAAATCGAGAGAGAGAGAGAGAGAGAGAGAAAATAGAACGAGAGTGAGAGAGAGAGAAGAAAGAGAGAAGCGAGAGCGGGGCATCACGTCGCAGCATCCCCGCTTTCTCTCCATCATAGTTTGAGTGCTGCGGTGTGAATGGCTTCATGGATTGGTACGACATCACTGCGTGGCCGAACGAGACGTGGGTGCCGGACAGCTGCTGCGAGGAGAACATCAAGAAATGCGGCAAGACGACTAACACGCAGGACTGGTTCATAGAGGTGAGATCAGCATTGATATACGCACGCACGCGTACGCGTAGATAAATACATAAATAAATAAATAAGTAAGAAAATAAGTAAACAAAACGAATAAACGAAATAAACAAGATAATTGATCAAAATTAATTATTGAGTAAATATTCAATATTTATACATTTATTGCTACACCTATGCATCTAAGCAACGCAAAACTCTAGAAATTGAGATTAATGACGCGATCCCGTGCGAAGAGCCCGTGCGAAGATGCTTTGCCGTTCGTAATTAATAATCGCTTATTAATTAAATCGTTAATTGCGTCGGCCGTTGTTTAGGGTTGCTACGACAGCATCCGGCGGTCATTGGCCGAGCACTTGACCGTGGTCAGCTTCGTGGCCCTCGTCATCGGCATCGTACAGGTAAGCTGTGACGTCACCAGGCAGGTAACTCGTAGAAGAGTTAATGGTCTCGTTGTTAGAAATGAAATTGGTCTTTACGTGGGTCTTTTACCGTTGAGCTTTACTCGTAGACCAGATTAGTCTTAACATTAACTTTTTCTCTTAGACCGTCGACAGCGCTTTGTTTCGTATTGTTATGAGGAAATCTCCTACGATTTTTCATTCTCGTAACTTCGCAGCGTTTCTATCGACGGTCTAAAAGAAAAAGTTAATATTAAGACTAATGTTAAGACAAATTTTGTTTCTGACAACGGGCCTCTGCAGACGTATATCCACTGCGTATGAGACGCACGTAAGCTCGCCACGTCTCTGTCTGAGAAAAAGCTCATGTTAAGAATAATATACGGACTTATTTTGTTTCTGACAATGGGCTCCATGACCGTGCCACTGTCAGAAGGCTCCCGATGTTAAGAAGAAAACCTGGGAAATGATAATGATACTGGGGACTTCAGGACTTTCACTCGCACAGCTTTGCTAGTGTTTATAAGATTGTCCCGCAGTTGGAATTCTTCTGGTTGTAGTTTAAGGGGGAAAGGGCTGTGTTAGCCAGTGCGCGTGTGTACGTGCGTGACCGGTGCGTGTGTACGTGCGTGTGTGTGTGTGTGTATGTGCGTGCGTGCGTGCGTGCGTGTGTGTGTGCGCGTGTGTGGTTAACCTATGTGTACGCGCGTAACCGGTGCGTGTGTACGTGTGTTCACAGCTGTTCATGATTGGATCGTCCATCGCTCTGCTCTGCGCGATACACAATCACAAGGTGAAGTCTATGGCCGTCTGATGGTGACAGGACGGCGGGAAGCGCCATAGCGACGGATGCCATAGCGACGGGTGTCATGGCGACGGGTGTCATGGCGGCGCGGACATCGCAACCGGCAGTTAGATGCGATATGATATGACTACTAGGCACTTTAATTTAATTTTTTTTTTAGGGTTAGGGTTTAGGTTAGGTTTAGGGTTTAGGTTGGGTTAGGGTTAGGTTTTTTTTTTTTAAGTGCCTAGTAGTCATATCCTAAGTGCCTAGTAGTCATATCCTAAGTGCCTAGTAGTCATATCATATCGCATCTAATTGCCGGGTGCCGGACATCATGTCCATCACGTGACCTTATCCTTCCCGGCCGCACGGACAGTGTTACACAGCCAGCTGAATTATGATCATGCAAGCAAGGATGAGAGAGATAAATTGTGTGAGAGTGAGAGGTGGAGAGTGTGGGCCAGCGTGTGTGTGTGTGTGTGTGTGTGTGTGTGTGTGTGTGTGTGTGTGTGTGTGTGTGTGTGTGGTGTGTGTAGTGTGTGCTGTGTGTGTGTTGTGGTGTGTGTGTGTGTGTGTGTGTGTTGTGTGTGTCTGTAAGTGTAGTGTGGTGCGGGTATGTGGGCGGTGGCGTGCGCATGCCGTGCGTCTGTGGGGTGGTGTGGTGTGTGTGGTGGGTGGGGGTGGGGGGGAGGGTGCGCTGCGATGCGTGGGCGGCGTTGTGCGGTGCATACGTGGTGTTGTGTGTTGTGTGTGTGTGTAGCGTGCTGGCATGGACGGGTGGGAGCACCTTGAAGGCTGCAAGTGCAGAGGAGGCATGTCTGAGCAGCCTTCACATATAACGGTGTTTCATGCTAACAGCTGGCGCCAGTGTACAGAACCCTGGTAATACTCGTGTGTATATGCGAAGCAACGTGTATTTTTTATGATAGATAGCCAGATTTTTATACGAAGATGACGTCATTTGATTCGATGTACAGAGTAATCTCTAGCTTATTGTGTTTTTATAATAAATAACATTTGATAATAATACTATGAGTTTTGAAAAGCTTTTACGTTTATCTGTATTATGGTGGGCCCAATGTTATAATAGTTTATCACAAGTCTTCGACGTGGCCCACTGTTATAATACATAAACATAACCATATACCATACCACACGTCATGAGGGGGACCAATACCGACAACGACCATATACACCGTCGAAGATCTTGTGATAAACATTATAACAGCTGGGCCACCATGCTCTCAGCGGTATAATGGTTAATGTTTATGTATATAGACAATGGGCCCACGTCAAAAGACTGTTGTGATAGAAACTATTATATAACTGGGCCGCCATACTGTTTATACGCAGCGTGACATTTGCGGGCTTTTACACACACAAACCACACCACACCGAAATGTTACGTAACAACCTATTATTCCTGTCCCGCTGATGACATGCGTGTTTGTTTACAACTTCATTGCGAAATGGCGTAGTAACCTCAATATATAAACGCAACATAAAGCCCCCCTGACCTGCGAAACGTATTGCGAGGTATGCGGTAGCCATATGTTATATTCAGCCTAAGAACGAAAGTACGTTTATTCAATGCGCCTCACTTTAGGGCTTTTTAAATTCACAATAAATTATTATCCGCTTTCTCTCTCTCTTTTCTCTCGTCTCTCTCTCTCTCTGCTCTCTCTCTCTCTCTCTTCTCTCTCTCTCTCTTCTCTTTCTCTTCTCTCTCTCTATCTTGTTTATCTCTCTCTCTCTGCTATCGCCTGCTCTCTGTCTCTCGTCCTCTCTCTCTCTGCTCTCTCTTCTTCTCTGTCTCTTTCTATCTGTGTCCTCCTCGCTTTTTCGCTGACATTATCGTGTTATCTATTCTCTCTCCCTCCTCCTTGCTCCCCCGCCTCTTTTTTTCCTAACTTGTTCTCTCGCTGCGCTAGCTCCTCTCTTATCAACGCTCTTCCCGACTATTTCTTCACTTCCCCTGCTTTTTTTCTTACCCCCTTTCTCTCGTGCTTGCCTGCTAGCAGTGCTCACATAATACAGACTCTTTCCGTGTAGGCTCACTACCTAACAGCATCTGTGTACCCTCCCATCCAGCCACCTCCTCACCCTCTATTTTCCCCCAACCCTCCAGCGCCGAGCGCTCGCCGGCACCATGCGCATCCAAACGCTAATTCTGTCGCAGTACTAGACCAGCAAACACTTCGTGCAGGCATAATCACACTAACCTTATGACAAAATAAACTCTAGTTGCTGCCCATTTCACTGCGCGTTTGCTTATTAAAACCCCACAAGAAAAGAGTGACGAAAACTGGCATTCTTGGCGCTAAAGCTCCGACTGTTTGTCCAAACAAGATAGCCTGCGAAGTGGTGACGTGACGTCACAGTGTTTATTACTTTGCTACAGCTCGTACCGGCTGTAACTAGCAGCACGCTGCACGGTTGCTGGGGCAGATTGGGAAACTTCAACAACATCGAAGGTATTTTTCAAATACATTTTATAAGACAACGCGCGCAAGCTGAAATGAGAGGACTAAGTTTATATAGATAATTAGTTTTTCTAAATAAATTACAATTGATAATTAATACTATGAATGATTTATGAAGCTGTTTACGTTTATTGCTGTATATGGTGGCCCAAATTTATATCATAGTTTTATCACAAGTCTTTCGAGCGCGTGGCCCACTGTTATCAATACATAAAACATAACCATATAACCATACACACTCATAGAACGCATAAATACAAACACGACCATTATACACGCGTCGAGAGACTTGTGAATACCCAACTATTATAACACTGGCCACCATCCTCAGCGGTATATGGTTCATGTTTATGTATTATAAGACAATGGGCCACGGTCGAAGACAGATGAAGTTATTGTGACAAACTATTAAGACACTGGACCGCCATACTGCTTTATCCCGAGCAGGCGTGACAAATTTGCGGGCCCTTTTTACACACAACCCCACACACCACACCAATGTTACAGTAACAATTATTCCTTCCCGCTGATGACAATGCGTGTTTGTTTACAACTTCTCTCGATAGATGGCGGAGTAACCTCATATATAATCGCACATAAGCCCTGGACTTGCGACGTATTGCGAGGATCGTGTACATATGTTACAGATCCCACCTAAGAGACGAAGTAGCGTTTATTCAATGCGCTTCACTTGGGGCTTTTAAATTTCACATAAATTATTATCCCCTTGATCTCTCTTTTTTTCTCTTTCTCTCTCTCTCTCTCCTCTCCTCTCCTTCGCCGCGACTACTCGTTCTCTCTCTTCCTCTCTCTCCTCTCTCTCCTCTCGCGCGCGCGTCTCTCCTCCTCTCTCTCTTTCTCTCTCTTCTCTTCTCTCTCTCTGCGCAGCGCGTTTCTCTCTCTCTCTCTCTCAGTCGTCTCTCCTCTCTCTCTCTCGCGCGCAAGGCGTGCTCGATTCTCTCTCTCTCTACGCGACGCGTCGATCTCTCTCTCCTCTTCTCTCACTCAGCAGAGCGCGCCGCAGCTCAGATCTCTCTCTCTCTCGAGCGCCGCGCGACGAATAATCATCNGCTCTGCTTCTCTCTCTGTGTGTCTCTTTCTATCTGTGTCTCTCGCGCACTCTCTCTCTCGCTTTTTTCTCTGCATTCGGTGTATATCTATTTTCCCTCCCTCTTCCTTGCTCCCCCTCTCTTTCCTAACTTGTTCCTCTCGCTCGCTAGCTCTCTCTCTTTATCGCTCTTCCCCTATTTCTCCTTCCCACTTTTTTTTCTTCCCCCTTTCTCTCGTGCTTGCCTGCTAGCATCCACATAATACAGACTCTTTCCGTGTAGGCACCTACCTAACAGCATCTGTGTACCCTCCCCCATCCCAGCCACCCTCTCACCCTCTATTTCCCCAACCCCTCCAGCCGAGCGCGCCGCACCATGCGCATCCAAACGCTAATTTCTCCAGTACTAGA